TGCACGCACACATCATGCTCATACAGGAGCCATGTCCTCATTTGGGATGTCCTCTTCTTCATAGGGCAGCTCCTTGATGCCCAGCCTAAGTTGCCATCAACTAATCACTGAATGGATTGCATTGGCTCAGCTCATATCAGTTCATGTATAATTATTGCCCAGAGGCTCATGCACACCCATCCCCTCAAGCTCAACAATCTGCCCTTGAGATGCCTGGATCGATCCCTCACTCCTCCATATTTCTCATCCATCCTGGCAAGAACAATGAATAATGTGTTTAAGTGCATGAAACCCTGCCATGCCATTTGAATGCTGCATGCCAGCATGACCACCAGCAGCATGGCCTTCATGCTCATCATAGCCATTTGCATGGTCTTCAGGGTTTTCATGGCCATCACACTGATCCAATGAGGATGAGGCTATGCTTCTATAGCTGATGAGCTTATTGCAGCTGCATGAAGCAACTGTAGATCAATCCATGTTTCAGCTCATGTTTCAAACCAGTCCACATGTTTCAGCTCATCCATGGTTTCAATTGTTTCAACTCATGGTTCAACTCATGTTTCAACTCATGCTCACCTGGTACCTTGCCTCATCCCCCCACCAGCCAGCCCATGCTTTGGCATCTTGCAACTCTGATTTGCTTGTAATAGTGGAACCCATGAACTGAGGCCCAATTCTGGTCATAATGAAATCCATCAATCAACATATCTAATGGTTCCTGGTCTCATTTGGACACATCTCAATACAGCTGACATGCGCTGCTGGCATGAGCTCTTGAGAGGTGTGTGTCCAAATATGGGGCCTCAGACTCAGTGGTCCATGAGCCATGTCAAGTTCATGAGCCATGTCATTGTGTCATTCATATTTCTCCAAACAAAGCATCAACTCAACTGATGCATGGCTCATGCTCTCATGCTCATCCTCACTCTTTGATATTGATGGGAGCCCCCATTTGCAGCCAATCCCAATATTGCTTAATACTGGGTTCTGGCATATGTGCCATCTGGCTCATGGCCATTGTCATGTTGGCATCATCATTGCCAATGAATTCCTTCAGGCATGTCAGCTCATGGTGGATCCAATGGACCAATCCTTAGGTCCCATGATAATGCATGAGGACATGCTAGTGAATTAATTAACTATTTGGTCAATAGCATGCAAATGCTGCATTATTTATGATGCCAAGCCTCCAGTGCCATGAGCATCGCTCATCATGTCTTCAAAATGCTGGCTATGTTGGCTAATGGGCTTGAAGATGTGTGTCATGGTGGCAGCTTTCATGTTGCGCAGCATCTCATCCTGAAGCTCATGGAATGTTGCATCCTCATCATTGAAGCTATTGAAGATCTCACCTCAGTATTACAAAAGTGATGCAAATTCAATGCATTCTCTTTCTTGAAATGTTAATGGTCATGCTAATTGTTTCATGCCAAGTCACTGGTATCTTTGCTAAGCATCATTCTGATGAATGTGCATTGCATCTTGGTCCATGCCAGCGTGCCTTAATCACTTGCAAAACACAGGTCATAAATTCCCAAACATGATGCTACCCATGTGCAAATGTGTTCTACATGTTTACTATTTGCAGCAATGGCTCAAATCTCTGCCCATGGTGCTTTCAATGATGCACACATCCATGTATCATACTCCACGAGCAGCCATTTTCTCGCCAAACCCAATCTCTTCTCATCACTGCATGTCCTTTTCTGCCAATCCTCCAGGACCCACCCCCTGATGTCTCTGATCCTCGCATGCACTACATTGGCCTTGTCCCTCATTCCACTAAATTGGCCGGCCATCCTGCCAGGAAAACATGCAAAATCCATCAACATTCATATGCATGCATCAACAGCAACCCAGGTCCTCCCATCCAAATGCATCAAATAGTCATTGGTGTAATACAAGGCCATGTTCAACTTCCTCAATCTCCCATGCAGCACATAGGCTGATGCGCATATGGCAATGGCCAAATCCAGTGCCAGCATGGGCCAGATCATGCCCTCAGACAATGCATTAACTCATCTCTCTCTCCAATGCATGCATGCACTGCTTGTTCACTGATGCATCCAAGTCACTTCATTGGTCATCATCACCTGCAAGCTGATAGCCCACATGACCACCACCATGGCCATCAAATGAATGGGCTCAATTCTCACCATGGCTTCAGATGCACAAAATGCTACCAATGCTTGATGCCAAAGATGCTGCAAAGTGCTGCCATACTCACATTCCAAGCTTGCCCATCAGTGCCTGCACATGCAACTGCATGGTCCATTGGCCTTGCTCATGCCCCCAGCACATTTTCATTCTTTTGCTCATGATGCTCAGCTAATTAATCATCATCCATAGACGCTGCATGCCAGTATGGCTCTAATGATATGTCCAGTTCATTCATGAAGCCAATGACTTCACCCCTCCTCTCACTCACCATCAAGGGTTTGATGGCCAGGAACTCATGCCTGATCCAATCCTTCCATCCTTAGTTCACATTGGCAGAAGCATGCTTTCATGGCAAGGAACTCACATGGTTTGCTCTCATGGGCACATGATTGATTAACTAACCAATTACCAGGTAACTGTGGGGGTTCTCATCATGCATCATGCCAGTGAACTCATCAGTGCCACCTGTATATGGCCAAAATATGCCATCTGCCATGCATGTTTTCATGTTTGCCAGCATCCCCATACAGAGCTCAGCATTGCTGGCAGAGGCATCATTGTATTGATCCTTCATGTCACCTTGTCAGCATGGCATGGTGTTTCAACTGCCTCACAAATGTGCTCATGGAATCATGCATGCATGGTTGCCAGGGCACTGAAATCCTCAGCCAGCACCATCCTGATATAAATGCATCCAATCCTCACCCACACAATGGAGCCTCAGTTGCCATGCAGTGATGCAACTCATCCCCCCTTCCCCACCCCCTTCCCATGCTCATGTGCAGCCACACTACATATCTCATACCAATAATCCTCAATGCCAGTTCCAAGAATCCCATCCCTCTCCTCCAACATGCCATCTGGGTGGCCCTTTTCCTGATGGTTGTAGTCCTCTTGGCCCAATCTCAGCTGTTGTCATGCACTCATGCCCCACCCCCCCAAGCACCACAGGCATCCCCCCCATGCACAAATCCAAGCCACTCTCCAATATCCACCCTCTCATTCTGATGATTCTCCTGCTGATAGACCAGCATCTAAATCCAATGCCACCATGGGCCTGATCAGTCCTGCAATGCACCCATGCACCCATGCACCCAATGCACCCCCATGCTTCAGTGTCCTCCTTCTCAGGGCTGATAGGATTGCATTGTTTTCATGCATAGCCACCTGGAATTCTTGCATCATCATCAATCCCAAATATACCAAATAGCAGCAGACAGGCATAGTGGCCATCAGGGCATACAGGATGGCATGGTGGATCATCTCCTGAAGCTCATGTGGACTAATTACTCTTCATGGTGGTTTCATTGGAATGCAACACTCTCACATGTATTTCCTCTTCTCTTCAGTCATGGCACTGGTTGCATACTCATCATGACAGCCAGAACCATCACAGCAATTGCACCCAATCCCATCAGCATGGTACTACTCATGGCTGGATTCTTGATATGCCAGTGCCAACAGCTGCATGGTAATTCATCGTAATTCATGGAACCTCATGGAAACCCACTGTAAACTCATGGAAACTCATGGGGGCCAATGGAAATTTCATGATAATCTACCTCCCACAGTCTCATGGAAAGCAATATGGGAGCCTCAGAAGCCTCACCACTGCCACATGCACTGATGCACTGCCCATCACTTTCTCCTATAGCATCATGTTAAAACATGTCTGTCTCAATGAAGACAGTCTCATTGTGGCCAATCATCATCTCACTGCCCTCATCTGCAAAAGCAATGAGCCAGCCCATCATGGTCCATGTATCTGAATATCCACCATTGGCCAGAGAGCAGAACTGACATGTGATGCCACCCAATGGCAATGCCCACCATGTATCAGCTCTGGATAGGCCAACAAACCTGCAGCTTGTAATGGCCTCTCCATCCTCCCAATATGGACCAATCCTGTGTACATGTTGGCCCAATATGCAGAGTCATGCCCAACTGATGCCAGGTCCTCATCTGATTCCAGCCCCTCATTGTGAGCTGATAGAGCTGATACTGACAATTCCTCCCATGAGCCTAGGCCTGATGAGCTTGATGTTCCAGATGCCATTGCTGGACCATGCCTGCCTAATCAGCCAGATTCGAGCCTAATATCACTCAATCTCAATGGAAACCTCATCAAATTTCATGGAATCCCACTGGGGTGGCCATGCAAACCTGATGGAAAAGTGACTCAATCTCAATGGAAACCTCATCAAATTTCATGGAATCCCATTGGGGTGGCATGCAAACCTGATGGAAAAGTGACTCAATCTCAATGGAAACCTCATCAAATTTCATGGAATCCCATTGGGGTGGCCATGCAAACCTGATGGAAAAGTGACTCAATCTCAATGGGAACCTCATCAAATTTCATGGAATCTGATGGAAAAGTGACTCAATCTCAATGGAAACCTCATCAAATTTCATGGAATCCCATTGGGGGGGCCATGCTTATCAATTCCAGATCTCAAAAGGAAGCCCCAGCAATACTAAATCAAATGGAAACTCAATTCCAGATCTCAAAAGGAAGCCCCAGCAATACTAAATCAAATGGAAACTCAATTCCAGATCTCAAAAGGAAGCCCCAGCAATACTAAATCAAATGGAAACTCAATTCCAGATCTCAAAAGGAAGCCCCAGCAATACTAAATCAAATGGAAACTCAATTCCAGATCTCAAAAGGAAGCCCCAGCAATACTAAATCAAATGGAAACTCAATTCCAGATCTCAAAAGGAAGCCCCAGCAATACTAAATCAATTGAAACTCAATTCCAGATTATTTAGGGGGGCAAGGCAAAAAACCTTCCAAAATCTTGCCCCCCCAAAACCTTCCAACCTTCAAGGGGGGGGGGGGGGGTACAGACTAATACGGGGTCAACATTACAAGCCTCATCTTAGATGAGACTTTGGCCTCTCAGTCGTCGGCCACAATCCTTGGATACCAGGTCACTTTCTTCCCCCATGCGAGTGGATCAAGTACCAAAACTGGAAATCAACCGTTGAACTTGTCCCCGACCTTTTGGGCTGTTCTGTGACGCTCGTGCAGAAAGCCTGGCCAAGCTGCGCCCGGCAGGAAAGGCGTCTCCTCACGGCTGCACCTTTCGGACGAAAATTGTATTTTCTCTGCAGAAAGATACATCAAGTGCAAGCTCACTGTCAATGCGAAACAGATATGACGCACATCTCCACTACATCTCCTGTCAATGCACAACACCTTAGGTGAACTATTGGTCGGTGCACGCCAGCAGTGCAAAGTGCTTCTGCGACAACCATCCACTATCAAACAACTGACACAATTACACTTCCGACCTATCAAATGACCATGACCCGCACATTGACTTGGGCAATTGAAAGAATGAATCCCTGCACGCTTGCGTGAAACAGCCTCTGGTTCAGTGGACGTCTATTTAAAATGGGGTTGTCCTAAAATAGGGGACCTGATGTTGGTATCCCTTTTAAACAACCCCAAAAAAGGTGTCAGCAAAAAAACACTCCAATGTATTGCCGCCACACAAGCGGTTTCCGACTTGGCTTGGTCGATCGCTTGCCTGAAGGCTCCAAGCCGCAGCAGCGCAGCCGTAAGGTAGCCTCGCTTTTGGCGGGGGCGATGGTTCATGCCCTTTCCTGCACGGGGCCTTTCGATAACATAGAGGAGGCACATGCACACACAGGTCTCAACAAAGACCCACATACGCACATGTTTATGTACGGTAGTTGTGGTACATACATGATTTCTGAAAAGAAGAAAAACAAGTTGTCAGAAAAAGCATTGGAAAGCTCAGCATCTTGCATCTCTGCCACGTGACCTCTCTGCCTCTGAGGCTCCAGCCCAGCACAGCCAATGATAGAATCAAGACCTCGAATGTCCAGGCATGAAAGTTTGGGAAAGATCCCCAACTGGTGCGCCATAGTTCATATGTCCAAGTGAAGACAGCCAGCGGTGTGTGTGCAAGACCCGCACGGGTCAAACAGTAGCCATGTGGCTTTGTGCTCACCTATGTGCGTGTGTAAACTTCCAAATGGTGGGTGACAGTGGGTGACAAATCTAAGGCATTGGGCCTTGGAAGGGCAGAAGCCCCAGTCTCAATCTAGTTCCTGAGAAAAATTGCATAAGCTTCATCATGTCCAAGCGATACATGTGCTCCGCAGTCAACATGGACACGGTGGTTTGGGGGGGTGGGGGGGAGGAATGCAGAAGTGGCCCAAACCGTGCCCTTCAGGCAGGAGCGAGGTGGCCTAATTAGATCCAAAACTGGCGGGAGATGCAAGAGTAAACTTAAATGTTTTTTGTTGTTGTGTTTGGTTATATTTATTTATTTTAAGTGGGAAGCCTGCCTTTCATTTGTAACAACCTAACTGCCTTGGCTGAAACGCCCACGCCCATGCGCACGCACTCAAAATGAAACTCTCGAAAGGGGATCCACTCTCAGCCAGCAGCAGCAGCAGCAGCAGCAGCAGCAGCAGCAGCAGCAGCAGCAGCAGCAGCTGCAGCAGCAGCAGCAAGAACAAGAAGCGCAAGAAGAGCAAGACGAAGGAAAATGCTAAGGAAAAACGAGAACAAGAAGGAGACAACGCAGGAACTCAAAGGACACCAAGAACAGCAAGAAGAGCAAGAGTGGCTATGAACAACAAAAGCAACAAGAACAAGAGAACAAAGGCAATGGAAAGAAAGATAAACACTAACATAAACCTTGGCATGCAGTTCGACATGGCCTGCAAAAGGCCTTGTCAATGCCCGGATCTTTGGGCATGGTGAAAGAACCTATATCAAATTCGGAAGGATCTTGATTCGGATCCATTCGGGATACAATAAGCCCCGCCCCTGCTGCGCGGAAAAGTCGAGGCCCCGTGCTGCCACTGCCAGAACGATTATGATCTGTCTGCGGCTGCATCTCCTTCCAAAATGGGGTGACAAAGAGCAGTGGGGAGGAATGCCTTGCTTTGGCCCTACAGGCCACTGAGCAATCTACAGCACTGAACATGTGACCAATGGCAGAAATTCAGTGTCCCCCGAAAGCAAGTTATTGAAAGAAGCTAGGAAAAGGAAATTGCTGTTCAGCATCTGCCTGACAACAGCAGACCTCTGCTGGATGAATCCCACACTACTAGTCACAGGTGAGAGGCCGCAAAAAACAAGAAACGGACGGCCACTAGTCACAGTGAGGACAGCCACCATAGCCAATCCCTCATTCCATGGCTGTCACCTGAGATGTTGCAGAATATCTTGACTTGAGACCCCGCCGGCCCCCCTCTCCACACGGCTCCTGAGGCATTGGCAGCCCTGGAACAAACCGGCAACACTGGTCAAGGGGAATCAGACTGCGCAAGGGTCAATTTAGGCCACTGAAACTTTTTACGGGGATGCACTCGTAGTGCTTCTGAAAATGAAATCGAATTCTGCAGGTCTCTGCCGGTGAACTGGCCTGGAACTGGATGCAAGCTGTTCCAACTTTGGAGGTTCGGATTTCCATCTCCAACCCGATGCAGCGGAAGTGTCTCAGGAATGCTTTGAAATATGACTGGCGAATGAGCCTAGCTCCCATCCTGGTCTCCCCATTGCCCCATCCTGATCTCCCCATTGCGGCAATGTATCTTAAAATGGAGTACCATCAGTGTCCCGAGACCTTCTGTAGAAATCGGTTCGTTCCAGATTCGGAGTTGAGTTGCAGGAATGTAGTGCTGATGTGCTTCGAATCGCAACGAGCACGCCAGCGTACAACTTGAATACAGGGGAAGCTCCATGAACTGTAAATGCTGCTGAGGCCGTTCTGCCCGATATTCAGCCTCAAGAAGATGTAGTGCCCTGTATGAACATGTTGTGCTAAGACAAGCAGGTCATGGTGATCCTGCGGTTTGCCCAGCCGAAGAGCGGTTCAAGCCTGGTGCTCTTCTGAAATTGGAGGGCAAGCATTGTAGTTGGGCTCAAAGGATTGGCTTCTGTTTCCCGGGTCAGCGCTCAAAATCCATTCAAGGCTCGGGTGTACTGACTTTGTCAAGATTGAGACACTCTAAGCTCTTGTCACACGTACTTAACACACCTCAACAATTCTCAGATCCGTTCGCGGATTTCTCACAAGGGCCCCGGGCTTTCGGCTCCGGCTCCGGCCTCTCGAGACAGCCATTTCAGGACCTTTGCCTATGATCTGAGCTTGGAAAAGTAGATCTTGTGATGTGGGTGTCTCTTTTTGAGGGTACCGTTTTTCTGTGGCTTGAGTAGCACAAATAATCCAACCACACCAGCCGCTTTCTCTGGCAAGTCGCCGTTAGACTGCGACTCACACTCCTCCCCATGAGCTGTGCCAAGAAATGCCGGAAGTCAAGGCTTGGCCCTGCAGCTGGAAGAACTGGCGGGCTGTACGCATTCAAAACTCACAGAGGTTTTGACCAACACCTCTAGACTAATCGGAGAACCGTCGGCATAACCCGTCCCTGATACAATCACGTAACCTCCCAAAGGGAAGCAAACTGCCACAGGCTGCACCGGATGAAAAGGATGCGAACGCTTTGCCGTAGCTCAGAGGGACTGCCAATCGGCGTGGTGCAACGCAAGGCTCAACATAGACCCGATCCGTGACGAATTGCGCATGGCTTCAAATTCCGCACCTCTGGCAGCCCGCCAAGCAGATCTGGTCCTCTCACTGAGACTCTAAAACGAGATGTTTCGAGCTTCTGGAAAATGCGGGGCAAAACTGCATTTTGTGAAGCCTCAGCAAGAAGCACTTGGCTTTGTGGAAGCCAAGACTTGGTCAGGGACGGCTCACTCTTGCAAGCCGCAAATTTCAAGCATGTGCTCCAGTGTTGAGCGCCGAATGAAAGTCTGTAAAGCGACTTGCTGTGTCACAAGCCGCGCTTGCTTGTTGACCAAGCATCAATACTAGCAGGCATGTGTCATGTATGATATTCAAGGGCACGTCACATGCTCATGTCAGCAACATGCGGGATGTTTGGAACAAAGCCAGTGAATACATATTAAACTACCTAAGGAACTCAACAACTCAGTACTTTGGGAGCCCACATAGGCAAAATGCAAACAGCCGCAGCTGCTCTTGGTGACTTGGTCGACACCGACTAGCTACTGTGTGCTTTCAACAAGAGTTCCGTCCTCCTCAAAGCGTACCGGCGCTGCCTGACTCTCTGCCTGCGGCACGGACAGCACGTTCGCACAGACAGGTCGATCACACAAGCGCTTCATGCTTGCAGCCTGCAAGTGGAATACAGACATTATGTTCACAGGAACATACAACCATGCCCACACAGGCGCCTCACGCAGTGGCAAATGCATCAAAATATATCTTGTAACATTTGGATGAACCATGCCCGTCAAGGCCATAGTCAACTGGAAAGGGGGCGACTATTCTGCGAAGACACACGAACACACAGAATTCACGTCGCGCGCATTCCAAACACAACTCGCCTTCGAAGAAACAAATTGCAATCGAGTGCAAGTATCTATCAATGTGAAAATGGAACGCTGATCTAAAGCGAATAGCTAGCTTGGGCCGTTCCTGTCACGCCAAAACTTGTGAATTCTAATTGTCTGCGAAAAACCATTGCCAGGACGTCTGCTTGTGCCAACGATCTGCACTACTTCTGCTGCAACCTTAGACGCAGGCAACATCATCTGCCAAAAAGACCAACAACGACTCCCAAACCGAATGCAGCAACCCAATGCCAAAATTAAATGGCAGCCAACAGCGGCAAGCTGCTCCAAGCCAACACCGACACCGTCCCACTCTGAACACCGGGCGCCGGGCCTTCGCCTGATCGAAGAAGAAGGCTGCAGGCGCCTCGTGCCGCTGAAAGGAGGGGTCGCTGCGCAGGCTACGCCGGGGGTCCACCGACACGTCGCTCTCCAGATCCACCTGGGCCAGGGAAAAGAGCAAATCTTCAGCTTCCCTTTAATTGGTGGTTTGGATTAGTTTGGATTGTTTTAGATTGGTTTGGATTGGTTTGGATTGGTTTGGATTGGTTTGCATTGGTGGTTTGAAGGTACCGGGTGGTTTCCCACTTACCCTCTATAAGCAAGGGCTACCTGACATCCAAGTCTAAACAATTCACAGTGCGCCCCCTCTGACCAATGCAACATCCCAGACCAGTGGCAGAAAGGAAAAACAGGGGTCTAAGTCTGAGGCGTCTAGGACCTCACAAGGGGCAAAGGGTCCCAGCTACCCTTCTGGGGTTTTCTGGGGCCTCCTTTGAAAACCACGCCTCCACATGACGAGAAGGTGCAGCTCTGGGGCTCTCCCGCGGAGAGTCTCGCCAATCTTCCAAGCAGCTGGCCTTGTTCCAGCGGCCGGTGAGCACCATGAAGCCCGGGATCTGTGTGGGCTGAGTGGTAGCCGGATCGTTCTGAAATTTCTGGTTGAAGTGCACGGATTGGTAGCTGGCGGCAGCACGAGCTGCCGCCGCTAGAGCCAGTGGAGGTAGAGGGAACCGACGATCAAACCAGGAGCGTGCGATATCTGGGTGGGCCAGAATGTTGACGTGCGATCTGCCAAACATACATGGCGGCTTTCCAATTTGGTACTTCCTGGGAGTCTCCAGGACGAACACACCTGATGGACCTGCAGTTTCAAAAGAAACCTCGCTCTCAGAGTCACTGACGCTCTCTGGCTGCATCGTCAAAGCTGCCTGGCCTGCATGGCCCAAAACCAGTGCTTCAACCACATCGGCCAGCTCATGCTGAAATGGTGCATGGCTCACCTGGAGCGGCGAAGTCGGTCTGCTGCCGGACATCAATACCTCCACAGCATCTGCGAGCCCCGCACGTTTTGGACTGGGGCTCGGGCTCTGAGGGCTCTGCGGGCTCTGCGGTCTCGGCGAAGAGCTCAGTGGCTGCTCGATTCCACGCGCCGTCGGGAGCTCTTCAGACTCGGAGTCCGACTGAACCAGTGTGCGTGCAGGTCTCCGTTTTGTCGGGCTCACCGAGCTCGTCAAGCCATTCAAACTTTTCCTGTGCACCCCCGATATCAGACATTCCACAACATCGCTGAGGTCGGGCTGCGTGGGTCTGGATTCCCGGCCAGAGCGTCGGCTCCGGCCGGGCCTCACCCGGTCAGTCGTGCGCCTGGGCGGCTGGAACAGGGTATGCGCCTGGAAAGTCATTGGCTCGGCTGGATATGGCTTCAAATGCTCAGGCCAGCTGCCCGGATCGCTCCAGTCATCGTGTCTGACCCGCTCGCCGGATTCAAACTCCTCGACTGAGTCTTGATTACTGTCCAGGTCTGTGCAATCCTGAGGGATGCTGCTCAGAGGGGACAAGTCTTTCGAAATGCTGAACTCCTGGTCAGACGCTCTGGTTGTGGCAGGCTCTGGGCTCACCGGACATATCTCTCGATGCTTCCGCCGCAAGTCCACAGTTTCCTCTGAGCTTTCACTATCCGAGGCTGCGCCACGCGCAAACCGCGTCCGGCCCAAGAGCGATGGCGGCTGCCAAAGCAGACCTGGCTGAATCTGCAAGCTGCCAACTTGATCGAACAAGCCAGGATCAGAGCTGTAGTCCTAGTACATGTACGGGTCTCTGTAATGAACAACTGCAACAAAGGTGGACAAAGGTGGAAACAACGTGTAGACAAATGATTGAGGGTGTGACACATCTCACTCCCAGCCTTCCGGCTTTTCCATGTCCAAGGGAGGCGGGCATGGCGCCTGCACCGCTGAAAAGCCGGCTGTCTGATCATGCCCTCACTTAGAGGCTGCTACGTGGCATGAGATACAGAACAAAATGTCTCTAGGAGAAGACGAAGTAATTAGCTTCCATCTCGCTGGCAAGTGCATGGCAAACAATGGAGGCTGCGCCTCCAAACGCACGAAGTATTGCAAGGCTTATTCAATACAAAGTGGGTCACCTGGTGACCCTAACTAAGTGATTCGTGCTCCGATCGCAGGCCGTCTTACAAAATGATGAGTGCCAACAACCATCCTGCTGTTCGCTTCACCATTCAAGCTCTCCAAACTCTCCGTGGATGGAGCCCCTGCGTATGAACCACCAAACTTGACAGTCATTTGTAGCGGTTTTACCACCCTCCAGGGCCTTCAGCAATATGCCCAAAATATGCCAAAATAGAAGGCCCATTTACAGCAGACAGCCTCAAAGACTTCGCCCAAGGCTTTCTTGGTGGCCTTGAGCTCCGCCCAAAGTCCTTGCACCGAGCTGGCACCTGAGGCAGTGCAACCTATGGCTACGGCAAAAACCGCTCCATTTCCAGGAAGTGAGTCCACCTGTCTCAGTCTCGGGTTATGCTTGGTCGCATGAAACTGGTAGACTGGTAAAGGATTCACCGACTTTCCGAATGTGGGATCAATGGCACATCTCCGTGGGCACCTGCGCGAAACTGCTCACGCGGTGCTCGCATGGCTCGGAGAGAGGCTTGCGAGATGGGCTGCGTGGAGGGTATGCGTGCGCAACCTGCGAGGGGAACCGGACGTATCTACATATCTACCTGGAATCACCGCGTTGCATCAAGTCCGGTCACATTTCAGAACCTTCAAGATGGAGCTTGTCCAGTCCAAACAGCAAACAAAAACGAACGCCTCGCGCTTGAAACATGATTGCAGCAATACTGCTAAGCTTGAACGCTTGAGCAAGGCCACAGCATCAATGCGAGTTTGAAGTAAGTCAGGATGTCAGCTGGTGAGATGTGAAGCGGAACTCTCGTCTGGCAGACAAAAGAACCAAGGAGCTGCTGAGCAGCTGCAACGACACTTCTGGTCGGGTCGATCGCAATTATTTTCGTCTTGCTCGAAATGGCAAATGAGACTGGTGCTTTGCCAACCTCTGCGCGATCTTGACGGCAGTCTGTACAGCCGCTCTGTTCGTTCCGGTTGAACCTGCCTCGGATACCCAGCTGTTGCGGGCATGGCTAGGCCGACCCAGGCTCGCAGGCGGTGACTGTTGGGTCATACGTACAGGTAAAGGGCAACCAATGAATAGGCCAGTCTCGGATACATGGTGTATTCTGCTGTATCCAAACCATGTTGCACGTTGCTTCCAAAATATGTCTTGGGCATCTGACTCTGGCAAGCCAATCTGTAGATTCCAAGCGAAACTGAGGAAACACTTTCTGGCGGCTCTTTTGTGTAGGTTTGAGTTCACTCGCGTCAGGATCGGGCAACCATGGCCTGGCCGCATCTGACATGGGCTGGATGGTGAACGTAAAGGGCCTCTCGTCATCTTGTCTGGATCCACAGCGCGAAGCCAAGTGTCGTTGTGGGAATCCCAACTGCACTGCCCCCAACCCGCAAATCTTAGATCCATGCCCTTCAGCCCATGATGGTCTTACAGGCAATCGGGTTTGTCAAGGCCAGAGCCGCATCCCCGGCGAACTCAGGGTGTGTCTTGTTTCAGGCAACCCCGCAACATGGCTTCCTGTTGGCTTCCCTATAACACCTACCAAAGACCTTGCCCCCATACAGACATCGTCCCGCCACACAAACTTATTACATAAATTTTCACAGATATTTTTCAAAATATAAAATTTTATGATAAAGTTATATCATAAAATTCTACCAGCATCCTTACAAATCGCGGTTTAAATTATCAATATGTTTTTTGCATTTCAAATGTCTAGACCAGTTAGGGTTTTTAACTTTACAACCGCAAACCTCACAATCTCTTTCATTTTGATTATATGCCTTTTTTTCTTCGCGGTGCTCAGCATCATATTTCTTGCTTACCTCCTTAATTCTGTCTGGATTTTTTGCCCTATACCTCTTCCAACTTTCTGCGCAAACTATGCACCAAGTTTTCCCAGCAACTAATTGACTAGGAAGTTTTTTACATCTACATGAAGTGCATTTTGTTTTTTCAGGTTCATCCATCCTTACTATAGTGTCTTAACTTCCCTTTAGGTCAAAACCATCTTACACAAATCCCAAATTCCCAAAATATAAAATCCCCATAATTTTCAAACATAAATCTTACAATGTTTTTTATTGTAAGGTTTATGGGTTAATTTCAACTCATATTGTTTCAATATCAACAGGTGTTTCTTCAATAATAGTCGGTGTTTCCTTTTGCTTCTGATTGTTATTATGCTTCTGAGTTTTTTTATGTTCCGACCATCTACATTTTTTAACTTTGCACTGACAAATATCACAAAATACTTCAATTTGACTATAGACTTTGCTGTATTCTTTCATTCTGGCGTTTATTTCTTCCTTATGTGCTTCACGGTATTTTTTGCTTTGCTGATGTTTTTGTTCCTTATTCTTCTGGTGTTTTTCCCTTTCCTTTTCCAAGCACCTTATACAATATTTATTTATTCCGTTGAATTCTTCAACTGGTTTAGTTGCGTTACATCTTTTGCAATACTGCTTCTCCATAATTTACTAAGGTAATTTACCTTTAAACCTGTATCATACCCTAAATCCCAAAATCCCAAAATATAAAATCCCCATAATTTCAAAACATAAATCTTAGAATGTTTTTTATTGTAAGGTTTATGGGTTAAATTTAATCATAAATGAACATTTGTTCCTCCTTCCCAAGTTTCTGGGAGACCCTTCCCAAGTTTTCAATTTTTGGGAGACCCTTCCCCATTTTTGGGAGACCCTTCCCAAGTTTTCATTTTTTGGGAGACCCTTCCCCATTTTTGGGAGACCCTTCCCCAGTTTTGGGAGACCATTGTCAAACCCCAACTCAAATTCCTTAACCCCTCAAACTCGTCAAAATCTCACAAATCAATTCAGCAGGTATTTTGTATAAATCTTCCTGCTTATGTATTACATAATTATCTCCCCATTCTGCTTTAGTTTTTGATGGCGGTCGTTGCGCAGTTTCAATATGTTTATTATTCCTTATTTTTCCACAATCTCTATTACATAAATCTCTAGGTGTCCAATTCGTAATGTTATTCCAAAGTCTAGTGCGTTTTCTGTAATTAAATCCATATTTGCAATAATCAACATCTTTAAAATCAAACTCATTCATAAACTCCTGATTTTTTAATAATCCAGTTTGAGGATTTTCGATTACAAAATATTTAGGATTAAAATATTTGATAATCTCAATAGTTTTTAAAACTATACTATTAGCATATTCAATATTCCTAATTCCTGTAGTTTTTGCTACACTGTATTCAGTGCACGGGGGACTGCTCCAAATAAAATCAAAATGGTTTCTGTCAAATTGTTTATAATCCCATTCCAAAATATCACAATTAATATCAGCATTTTTCAAGTCTAATGAGATGACATTAAAACCTAATGACTTTGCTATGGTTCCTACACTTCCAGTTCCACTAAATAATTCTAATAAATTCATATTGTTTATTAGAATGATTTAGAAAATGTTTTAGAAATATACATATTTATCATCTTCCTTAATAATCTTATAGTATTCTAATGTTTGTTCTTTTGGACTTTTGATTTGTCCCTTATTTAACATATCACAATATTTTTTACGCTTCGTGTCATAATCGCCGCTGGGTCTGCCTATCCCTTTCTTTTCAAAGATCTTATCAATCTTTTCCTTCTCTTCATTGTTATCTTTTGGTTCGTTTGCCTTTGCATCAAGTTTCTGGTCAATAGTTTTTATCATCTCGTGCAACGGTTTAACATTTTTACTAACTGTCATTATTTTCTTTGATAGTTCAGCAATAGCATCATTCTCAACTTCAGACATTTCTATATATATTTATTTATATAATTATTTATTTAAATATTTATTTATGCGTTTTATTATACAGTTTACCTGAATAATTTAATGTTATACATGTAAATAGATTATATTCTAAAAGTCTTTCATCAATTTTATTTTTCATTTGTATTAAACTCTCCCCGCCACCTGTAATTTCAAAAAAAAATAATATTGTATCAAAATTATCTGGTTTAGTTATACCTTTCATAAAATATTTATCATTGAATTTAGCATCAAACCTCGTCAAAAGTTATAACTCTATGGTCTTCTCTATTCATAGTTGGCATTATGATTATACAAATAATTAGATACTTATTTATTTAATTATTTATTTATAAAATTGATTTAATGTAAAATCTACTCTTTAAATACTAACTTATGTCCCTGTTGAAACTAACATTAATCAAATGTTCGTTAGTTTCAATAACCATATCGCCTCCTTATTTTTCTGAATATTAAAATCTTTGTCTGTTTTTTTAAAAGAAAACATACATGGGACACAACTAACCTTAACACCATCTTTTTTATCTACCGTCAATTCATTCTTAAAATTCATAACATGATTACATTTATCGCATTTTACAGCTTTACTTTCACCCTTTGATTTAACACTTTCCGTTGTTTTTTTCCGAGCTTCAATATCTGGCATTGGTCTTTCTTTGCTTTTACTCTTTTTCTTTCTTGGCATTTATATTAATATTTACATTTTTATTTTTGGTATATTGTATTCCTAATTTTATTAATTCTAATGTATAAAAGCATACTTTCTTACATCTGTTGTCAGTTATTATTACTTGTTCTATATTCTCTACTTCATCTATTATATCAATATAATCTGAATAACTTCTATCCATATAAATAATAAGATGAAATAATTATTAAAAATAATTATTTGATCTTATTATTTTCATGCATAATAGAATATTGGTGGGGCACAGCACTTGGGGTTTTCATTGCACACGCGAGCGAGACACAAAACTAATTATCTTCAATGCTTATTGATTGAAGCAATGGAAAACCTGTTCCATTATGTTATTTACCGCCACTCATAACATAACGATGTTCCATTTAATATTAATTATAAATAATTTTCTAAATATCTTTAATATTATTTTATTATGCCTGATGTAAAACCAATTGACGAAATCAAATATGACTTTAAGCAAAGCAAGCACGAGGTCGTCCCTAAATTGCCGATGAGAGCTATGATTGTGGGCCCGTCAGGCTCTGGAAAATCGACGCTACTTGTATCAATGATACTTGATATTTATAGAGGTGCATTTGAAAGAATTTTTATCTGGTCCCCATCAGTAAATTTGGATAGTATTTGGTTGCCTGTTAAAAAATACATTAAGGAAGGTTTGAAAGTAGATAATGATAAAGAACCGTGTTGGTGGGATGAGTTCAATGTTGAAGATTTAGAAAGAGTTATAGAAACTCAAAATAAAATAATTGAATACCAGAAAAAACAAGGAACGAAGAAATTATTTAATATTTTGGTAATTTTGGATGATGTATCTGATAATCCAGCAATAACAAGAAATAACAAATTGTTAAATTCTTTATTTTGTAGAGGTCGTCATAGTGGAATATCAACACTTGTAAGTCTTCAAAAATCATCAACCGTTCCACCAAATATTAGGGTAAATATAAGTCATTTGTTTTATTATAAAGTTAGAAACTACAAAGAGATAGAAATATTACAAGATGAATTATCAGCAATTGTTAGAAGCGATAATTTACACGAAAGCAAGAAATTAATTTATAAAATATATGAAGCCGCCACTGATGAACCGCATAGTTTTTTATATATTAACCTTTTAGAAAAGAACCCAGATAAAATGTTTATGAAAAACTTTTCACAATATTTGAAAATAACTAATCAATAACATTAAATTTATTTTTTAATGTTTTTGATTTAAATTAATGAAGCGTTGCATAAATTCAACGCAGGTAATTTATATATTAGTTTGTCCGATTTTTGATTTTCTAATTTTTCAATCCTTGCCACACATTCTTGAATAGATTTAATTATTAAAGTATCCGCTCTTGTTTTTCATCTACTCTTAAATTCTTAATGTCTTCCATACTGTTATTTTCATCGTTTTTACTTTGACCAATACCCATTATATATTATTATTTAGATTGTTTTTTCAATTCCTTAATTTCTTTTTCTAATTTTTCAACTTTATCTATCACTTCCAGTAAAGCTTTATGTAATAATATTGGAACTTTTGTATATTCAATACCTAAATATTCACGTTCGGTATGAACTACATTACTAATTTCTTTCGGAACTGCTTTTAATAAATCATCAGCAATATAACCTATATGGATTGCATCCTTATCGTCTCTATCTTTTCTTTTGAATTTTTTAGGTTTGAATTTCTTAATCATACTAATACAATTACTTTTAAGTAAATCTACATCATATTTCAATCTTGCATCGGAATTATCTATTAGACTTCCATTTATGGTTACA